TGAAACGGTGGTGTCTATTTACTTGTGACCACGCTGTATATATACCTATAACAAAGACGGCTGACTTTGGTATTAAAAATGTTTATTTAAAAACACAATACAAGTTTTTAATATCCATGTCAGCCGTCCCTACAGTAGATTTTCTTCAAGTGTGTTCCTCAACATTATGATATATATATATATCAATATATAGGGTAATTCAGTTTGTACCTGATGATGCCTTTATTGGCGAAACCATGGTCCTCATAAGTGGTATATTTGTGAAGTGTACAATAGTCTTTGTTTTTCTCAATTCTGTAATTATAGAGTTTCACCACGTACCGACGGCTTCAATTATTAATTATATAAACATTAATAACTTTACATGAACCTTGTGAACTAACCATATGACACAAACAGATAGCATCAAACCTGAGTTTTCCATATATTGTTGGTTTCAGGGAATACAAACGGGGACTCTCCGTTTAGTCCAACGGATAAATTCAATACAAGGGGAGTAATTTTTGATTTTCATTGACCTCCCCACCCTCCACCGTTTAGCTAAATTTATTGCTACCAAAATGTTGTAGTTGCCTTATCCTGGGCGTCCGCAGAAATCTTTTTCGGAAGGGACAAAATTTTCCAGGGGGAGGGGGCAAAGTAGTTTGAAATTGTGAACTGAATAAAAAATTATCATGCATATGCTGAATGAATAAAGAAATAACGATGTTTCTCATTTTCCAGGAGCCCCCTCTTGCCCCCCCTCAAATGCGGACGCCAGTGTCATTTATCCTTAAATTTCTTCATATTGAAAAGTGATATTTCGATACTAAATCAAATGCAGTCTATACTTCAAACGGTATTATTACACGCGTTGTTAAAAACACGGTCGAAAAATCGTTTTCCTTCAATTTCTTACTTAAACAGTGTCTATACTGCGTTTATGTTAAACGTTATTTTAGCAGAGGAAAGCACAACGAAACAAAAATATAACCAATGAAAAGTTAGTAGAAATGCTATCTTATGTATCTCTCGTGTGTTCTATCACATCTAAAAATAAACAGTTTAAATATCATACTTAATATTTTAGTTTTGTTCAGTTCAAGAAAGTTTGAGCTTTCCCCATGTTTCTTACAACTCTATTCGTTATTAAGAGGAAACTTCATTTCTTATTCTTTATAACAATATAGGCTTACTTTTCGTTACTTTTGTCATTTTTTTTATCCAAGAACGATATGGATCAACCTTCTTGGCGGGTTTATTATTATAACAGCTTCATGCCTTGCCGGACTTATTATTTACAGTAGATATCACGAATGTGACCCCATCACCGCTGGACTTGTCAATGCCCCGGATCAGGTAGTTTGCGTATCTATTGCATTTCTATAGCTAGTACAGAATTATTTTATTGTTACACCTTTGTAGGATATTACATAGATATGATGTAGTTTTAAATACCTAGAATAATCAAATTAAAAGATAGTGTAAATTACACGAAAACGATATAAGTGGTCAGCAAAAAGTCTAATGATAAATGGAGTTCTTTTGGTCCAACATTTATGTGATTTTATTTTCTTACGTGCCTTGTGTTTATGAAGGGCGGTTTTATATAGGTGTTCCACTGTTTCTTTATCTTTCATATCGAGTTTCATTAAAGATAATTGGTATGTTCCATTTATTTGATGTGAATCCCCCCCCCAAAGTCATTCCGGAAAAGTTTGAGTTGTTTTGATTAAACAAAAAGAAGACGTTTAGCACCATTTTCGATATTTAGGTCACTGGACCAGGCCCGTGACTGAACCCGCAACCTGACCCAAGACCATGAGAGCCAAGAAAAATTACCTTATAAATGTAAATTAAAAACATATAGCAATGAAGCATGCTTGAAATATTCTAGATGTGGTTGTGGATGTGATGTTTAAATGTAGCGATTAAGCTAAACCTCGGATCTAGGTAGGATGAGGGAAAAGCTTATTCGAAGATATCCCAATCGATTTGACATACCAGTTGAATCGGAGATTCTTCAATTGATTACAGCATTGACAGCGAAACATAGACAAACGGGCACAATAATAATGTCGTTTTCTTCAACTAGGGGGGTTGGAATCATATATAAAAATCATTAGTTTCATTATTTTGTAAAACTGACAGCAGAGTAAAGCCCAAAGATGCAGTATTTAAGTTAAAGAAGATGCATGATCCGTTACAAGATGATTTCCCTAGCAATTCTCAAATTTAAAATGTCATTTCTACAGTGAGAAGTAAATATAAGAAGGATGATATAATACCCAGTATGGTACCACCATAGTATAAACCATATAGATAGCATCATGTCATATTTTCATTAATATTTAGTTGTTTTTTGTTTTGTTCTTTTCGTTTGAGAAGTTGTGCCGAACTTCACTTATTGAGATCTGTCGAAATTACCCTAAATCAATGGTTTCCGGAATGATCCTTCAATTTGTTGATCATTCTAAGCTCAGTACTAAAAGATGCTGGGCTGGCTCGTGTGGCAGGTGTTAAAAATAATTAACTCTTGTATTCTATTTTTTACGGTGTTTTGTTTAGGTAATTTCAGGTTTTAGTTCTTAAAGATTCGTATAATGATAAAACGAACAATTAGTGTTAGAACTTTAAAAGCTTTACGTTAAATTATGTAAGTTTTGATTTAATTAAAAACAATAAGTTTCTTTCACATTCGTGAAGTTTGGAGATGTTACTTCTTTTATTTATCCTGGAAGTTTAAGATTTTTTTACTCGAAAAGCTAGTAAATTTTAGTTTATTTCCAAATACCTAAACTTTGCCTCCTCTTTTGATTTATTTTGTATCTAGTTACTTCAACGATGGTTCAGCAAATTTCGTTCAGGTGACTTTAGCGTTAAATTTAAAAACAGTGATGGCAGGGGCTCACATGTTGAAATTGATATTGATGCTCTGAAGACGCTTGTTGAGTCTAACCCAAGGCAACACACTCGTGAAATGGCTCTGAAATTGCATGTCTTTCATGAAACAATACTTAACCACCTAAGGAATATGGGAAAACTCCATAAAGAAGGTGTTTGGGTGACTCACGAACTCTCCGATGATCAGCGTTTCCAACGTGTGAACGTTGCTTGTTGCTTCGTCTCTTCTGGCGCGTAATGCGCGTGAACCATTTTTTGACAGAATTGTCACCGGTGATGAAAAATGGATTCACTATGCGAATATTAAACACCGAAAATAATGGCTCAGTCCTAGACAAAAACCACTTCCGACCCAAAAACCTGGACTCCATCCGCAGAAAGTGATACTTTGCATTTGGTGAGACACCAAAGGAGTAATTCATTTCTAACTCCTCAATCCACAGCAAACTATCAATGCATAGATCTATAGTCAGCAACTGGAACGTTTAAATCAAGCCTTTCATCAGAAACGCCCTTCACTCGTCAATCGGAAAGGTGTTCTTCTTCTCCATGACAATCCACGTCCACATGTTAGCACGTTTAACGCAACACAAATTGTAGTCTAAGTAATATGTTTACACTTTCTACTGTGCAAATACTTGTTATTTCAATTATTTTATGAATGAGAAAATAGAAACAGGTGTTAGTTTTATGTACTAACAATTTTGTGATTATTCTCAGAAATATGGATTTAATACAATGAATATATTTTTAATTACGACTTCATTATTTGAAAATGTTCACTTTTCATCTGGTAAGTGTATAGATATGCATAATATGTGACAATGACTTCCAAAATAAACATGAGAAGCATACCTATAAACTTGGTTATTTTTTTAAATGTGCATCTATGCACATAGTGTTTAAAAAAGGTGTTGTATGTACTCATAATTCTATGTTTATTCAACAAAATGATGTTGAAACAAAAAATAAATACATTAACTCATATTTTTTTGAGTGGGATCAATTTCCTGGGGGTCAATTTTCCTAGAATGGACTGATACATCTGCCAGGTAATTAGGTATTTGTTTCATAATAAATTAATTATTTAAACAAATGGTTTTAAATCTGAGTTTCAAATATATTAAAGAAGTGTTGCAATTTTATGCATACAGTATGTTGATCATCAGTAATTTATAATGATGATGATGTGATGATGTAAAACATAAAAGTATAAATATCTGAGGTGTTTCCTGAACTTTAACATATCTTCAAATCATAAAGCTGATAGCCATAAGTATATAGTCTAACATAACAGTATTTATTTGTCCTTACCTTGAAAGAGGGCTAAAGATGAAGCGTAAAGTACAACAGCCAAGTACATCATCTGTGAGACAACAAAATAGTTATAGATGATTTGAAAATTGTTATACATACTTCAGGTTTAAAAAATACTAAAATTAATAATTGCGAGACTTATCTAATAAAATCTGGATTTTACATATTCCCCACCTTAACACCAATATTTAACATTTTATGTTGTCATTGGTTACCACTTACCTTGGACAGATGTTATTTAGGTACTCGACGAAGACAATATTTAATAATTTATATATCATTTTATCTAGGTAATCACTATAAGGTGGCATTTGATAAAGTCCAAGATAATTTAGTTATTTATTAATTAAAAGTAACATAATGTTTTAAAATTAGCAAATTTTTGTTTGTTTGTTTGTTTTGGAATTTCGCGCAAAGCTACACGAGGGCTATCTGCGCTAGCCGTCCCTAAGTTAATAGTGTAAGACTAGATGGAAGGCAGCTAGTAAAAAACCACCCACCGCCAACTCTTGGGCTACTCATTTACCAACGAATAGTGGGATTGACCGTCACATTATAACGCCCCCACGGCTGAAAGGGCGAGCGTGTTTGGTGGGACGGGGATTCGAACCCGCGACCTGGTATGAGGTTTGTTTGTTTGTAATTAAGCACAAAGCTACACAATAGCTAACCTGTGCTCTGCCCACCACGGGTATCGAATTCCGCAGTGTCAATATGTTCACTTATTTACCTCAAAACAATGAATTTTATTGATGATCAAAAGAGTACTCTCTCATCTCTGAACTGTAACTTAAGGAGAACCGTGTGATATCGTGTTATGACTTTACCTTATTCCTATTACTACAGTGAAGTTTACTAAGTTTTCATAAATCTTATATCAACTTCGTTGACATTTAAGGTTATGGTGTTATACAGTAAGTATAATGGTTTCTTTAATAATTTGTTTTTCCACGGTTACTTGCGGTATACGAAACAGTGAGAAAAAAAATGTAAAATTAAGGAAAGAGCACATTTTTAGAAACCTTTTACATTGCTTCGTATTTTAACACAAAATATTCTGTTTTTTAGACATGTTTCCTTAAAGTATTTCCTTTCGAAATACTTGAAAATGGGCTGCTGGAACTTTACGACAATTTTACGCATTTTCTTGTAGGGTGTAGCGTGTTCATAATTAGTGCTTTTTTACTTAGTTCATGTGGAACCCTTGTGTGGTTAATTATCGTCTAATAAAAGCTCACCTGCTTGCTCTTCTCCCTTCTTTCAACATGTCGAGGACACTATTTTGACATTATCTGATATTGCTTCTGCACCTACAGAGATTGGGACTTGTCACCTATATTCACTGTTGCTTCTGTACCTACTGAGATTGGGACTTGTCACCTATATTTACTGTCTGCTTCGTTATCGGGATTTTGGTCTTGATAGACCAGGGAGGGTCAGGGTTCATTAAGACTTCTTCCTCCTTCAGCACTGTGGTGACATCTATATTACGCTGCTTTATCTGGTATGGTTAATCGGTTTCAAAATAAGATTAGGTGACTAACAGTGATTTACGAGTGGACAAACTCTATTTTTCTAGTGCTTATGCTAAGGTGCTCGGTATAATGTTTCAGATAGCTCTTAAGTGTTATGGATTAACTGAATCTGGAAGCCGTTTTTCAAAAGATGTGTTATATATTGGTTTCATTGTTATAAAATTTGTTAGTCGTTTCTGTAGTTTAGTATCTTTTGTATATTCTGAGTTTATCGAGATCGGTTTACAAGTAAGTTGAGACGGGAAGTTCGAAGTTTTATTTAGAATTGAGGTATTCATAAGATATCTTGTGAGTTTAATTAAGCAAGTGTATGAAGAAGCGGTTAATCTTGTATATTTTCGCTTGCGTAAACTTGCTGTTTGATTCAAACTTTTACAGTATTGTTTGGAATGTTATTGTTCAAGGCTGGTCTTTTTTTTCCGGTCATTATGAATACATGAATTTGGATTTTTATGGTTTTTCTTTGTGTTCTATAGTCCAAATATTATACCTAAGAACTTATAATATCATGGAATGTTCTGTAAGGAAATAAGACAAATTTTCCTAAAAGCTGGCAATTTTTAATGAATCTTTGTTTTGTAATCTGCGTTGGAGTCATAG